TTTCTGCCTTAGAAGAAGTTTATGTTCATCTGCAGGGCGATTCATCCCTTGATAAGTGGACGTACTTTTTCAAGAAAGAGCCAGCTCCGAGTTTACTGAAACTGTTCCAGTATTGTGCATCAATTCCAGTATCAAATGCAAACGTTGAACGAATTTTCAGCGTCATGAGAAATTTGTGGACTGACAAACATAACCGACTGCTTGTACCATCAGTTCAAAGTGAACTTTGTATATTTTTTAATATTTCTCAATGTTGTACTGAAATTAAAGAATTATTCCTTAAACACAAAGAATTGATCAAAGCTGCGCAGTCAAATAAAAAATACACACAACAGCAAAGTAAAATGTAATTTAATATTTTACATATTATTATATTTGATGTTTTGAATTTTAAGTGAAGTTTTGAAGTGATTATTTTAATACGTGTTAAAATGTTTGTAAGAAAATATATAATTTAATTGTAATTTTTTTTATTTTTTTACTACTTAAACCCCCCCTCCCCCGCTTGTCCGCTATTTTTTGGAAGCAGACCTGGCAACCCTAGCCCTCAAAATATTCTTTGCTTTGTTTTGCTCCTGAGTTGACTTGTACAGTAGGCAACTGATGAACTACAAGGTTTGCAATACCCTGGTGATTTATAGAATAAAATTTAAATATTAAAATAAGCTCAGACTTAAGACCAGTAAAATCATTAGTTTACTCAGGATGTGGGGAATATTTGACCACTTCATTCTTAATTTTAGGAAATTGTGGTACTGCCAATTTTGAGAAACTTTTCCCTAAGATGTTCCTTCCATCTAATCCTGATGCCTCTATTCAATGTTTCCCCTGTGCTTATAGCAGGAAGGATTTTTGTTTCTGTGTTATATAAAAAAACAACATATTATACAATTTTTTAATCAAATCATAGCTATACATATGAAATAGAATAATTGTTCTAAATAAGAGAAGGTGGATGGTTAAGTATTATCTTTGTTTATTAAAACTATACTATTATAGTTTGGAAAAAATAAAGGACAAATGTGAAAAAGGGACAGATCTGAAAGATTCATTGCATAAAATATATAGTTGCTTATAACTTTCCTTTACAAAGGAAAATTCAAGAGCAAAAGCAAGAAAAACTTCACAAAATGCCTATAGCACTTTCCCAAAACATCTTAACTCAAATAGTATATGTACATTTATTTTAAAATGACTATTCCATTTCCATATTTGTAGGGTACTTGATTCTCTCTGAGCTTGGTTGCTTTCTTGCAGATGTTTCATCATCCAACTAGGTAACATTATCAGTACTAGAGAGAGTGGAGCTTGCTCTCTATTTATATACAACTGGCTTGCCCTGTTAGTATTAGTGGGAATATTCTTGATAGTTCCTTGATTAGGCTGTGGCTTACTTGTTTTAATAGTTTATCTGATTTGGAAGTTCTCTGATTGGGCTATTATTTACTGCTTAATTGTTGCTTTGATACTAATCCTAGTGTTAATCTCTGATTATCTGGGTGTTTATTGCTGGGGAGGAGATGTTTTTGTCTTTTTGTTTCCTTGTTGATTGTCTCTTTTGTAGATGTATATCTATGTATCTATTGATGGCTGATTTGTGCCAAGCTTTCAGGAATTCTCTAGTTTCTCTAGATTTGGTTTGGTCCAGGATTCTCAATTGAAACTATGGTTAAACTTGTCCATGTGTTGTGCAATTAATTAGTTTTCATCATGTGTTCTGACTGCCAGTTGGTGTTCAGGAATGTGCTCTGTTAGTCTTTGCCTGTTTATCCTACATAGTGGCTGTTACAGTCCTTACAATATGTATGTGTTGTAGATTATTCCTGTTTTTCTTTTTTGGTTGCTGGGTCTTTTGATTTACTTAATATGTTTTGGAGGACTTTAGTTGGTTTGCATACTACAGTGATGCTATGTGGTTGTAGTAGTCTGTTGGTTATTTCTGAAATATTTTTAATGTATGGCAGTGTTATCCTTTTCCTAACTTATGTTGGTTGTGCAGTAGTGAGCTGAGTGATCAGGTACATTTGATAAAGTTGCGTAGGTATCTATTTTATTGGAAGTTATATAGATGATTTGTTTTCATTTTCCTGATGTTCAGGGTTGCAGTGTGTTTGTGTTTGTCTTACATAGTTTCTCTTGTGGAAGATTGGCTTGTGACTTTGGTAGTGGAACACTTGGTTAGTGTGGGTAGTTTTACAATAGATTTGTTTTTTTTAATTTGCCACCATTACCTCTGCTGACATAAATTGTCCTACCCCACTCTCAACCTTATATTGCCTCAATAAAAACTAGCGTGCGCCCTCCAGTCTTTACAGTTTTAATGTGGGACAAGGGAAGGAAATTGGAGGATTCCCCAGCTTAATTTTCCCTTTGATGAAACATCACCTATCCATAAGGAAGTACTACCAATCATGTTTGTCAGGCTTTGCTTGGCAAGCCAGACTAGAAATAGATAAGCAGACATTCAAGGACAAGAGAGCTTTTAATAAGTAGATTTAGTAAAGAAAAGATAACAAAGTCATTATAAAACAATTTTAGTGACTGCTATGTATCAAATGCAAACCCTAATTATACTGAAATAGAATTACACATTCTTGTTCTCCTTTCTTTTGCCTCATAGTGGAATGGGCTTGAAGCTTGTTTTAGTATTTTACTAGTATGGTTTTAGGAGGTTTGCTTGTCCCCTAACTCTACATCTGTGGCAGGGTGGAGGAAGTGTAGGAGGATGCTTTGAATGGTGAATTTTTTTGCTTAATTTTATTGATTAACGCATTGTAAGCCGCCCTGAGTCTCCGGAGAAGGGCGGCATATAAATCAAATTTAAAAAAAATGGTGCATGTTAAGTTACTCAGCTAGCAGGCTGAGGTACTTCATTTCTCTAGGCCTGAGACTTCTCAGCCGGGCTAATTTTGGTCACAGGGTCACCACACTTTAAAGAGATTGTTAGACAACTGTTTAGAAATAATCTGAATATCAGATCACAAATTTGGAGGCAAGGCTGCAAAATGCAATGAGGATGCTCCCTATGCTTCACCTATTAGTTTAGCTAACAAGCAGAGCATGTGGTGAAGCAGGAAGGAGTAATCGATAATGGACAAACTCTTTGAGTTGTGCTTCAAAGAAATGATAGTACTTGCAACAAGAGGCCATTGCTATCACCAGATCAAAACAGACTTCCATAAAAAAACCCTTGTGGACAGAAGAAGTGCAAAGTGTATAATATACCCATGGATGACCAAACCACTAAAATAAAGCTGGGGAAACCCAGCACTTTCCTTATTTTTTATTTATTTATTTATTTTAATTTGATTTATATGCCGCCATTCTCCGGAGACTCAGGGCGACTTACAATGCGTTAAGCAATAGCCTTCATACTTTTGTATATTTATACGACGTCAGCTTATTGCCCCCACAAACTGGGTCCTCAATTTACCCACCTTAGAAAGGATGGAAGGCTGAGTCGACCTTGAGCCTGGTGAGAATTGAACTCGTAATAATTGCAGGCAGCTGGATGTTAAATGCTGCCTTAGGAGGCATTAGCCTCCAACGCCACTCAGGCTCCATTTAAATCAACTTTTAAATTTAAATGCAAGACAGGACACTTTTTTAAAAAAACAAATGTGCTAAGCCTGTGCATATTAAGCATCAGCGCAAGCCTTGAAAAGTGACTTGAAAGCCCCAGTCAGGCATTGCGTGAGCATATGCTTTCATAGAAGCCAGGTGTCCAGCCAAAATGGTCATAGGGAGTAGGTCCCAGCAACTAGGGGGAAAAGCTGCCTGGTCACAGCAGCCTAAGGGAACTACTCAGAGTTTGCAAATGCCAATCCTTGGCTGCATTGCTGTCCACTTCATTTAACTTCCTAGAGCATGTCAACAGCAAAGACTGTCTAGGGAAAAAGAAAATCGATACCTGAAAACCAGAACAGGTAAAAATGAGTTCAAGGCTGCCTTAGCTGAGGACTGGGGATGACATTGTTACTGGGATAAATTCCTGATGGGGTTGGGAGGACATGAGGTTATTTTTAGACCAGTATTATTTTGGTCAGTCAGCAGCAACTCAAGGTCTCCGAAAGCTTTAAAGCAGGGATGTCAAACTCAAGGCCCAGGGGCCACATCCGGCCTGCGGGGTGCTTAGATCTGGCCCATGGGGGTGCCTTGGAAATAGCAAAGGACCAGTCCGCAGTGCCTCTGCCAGTGAAAACAGAGCTCAGGCAGGCCGCAGGAGGGTTGCAGGAGGCCATTGCAGCTGGAAACAGAGCTTGCGAGGGCTGTATATGGTCCTCCCGAGCTCTGTTTTCACTGGCAGAGGGTTGCAGGAGGCCGTCACAGCTGGAAATGGAGCTTGGGAACCCGTTTTCATTGGCAGAATGCTTGGGCCACCATAGGCGCCCCTGACACAAGTGACGTTGAGCTGGCCACATCTACCCTGGCCACGTCCAACCTCGGCCCCCCAAGGACAAACACTACCCTGATGTGGCCCTCAATGAAATAGATTTTGACACCCCTGCTTTAAAAATTTAATTGCCCCTTTTAAAAATGGGAATATGCATTTTGTGATTTGATTCCAGGAGAGGTCTCCTATTGAAAGATCCCTCATTCCATAGAGTGAGATGACTGTGTTTCATAACACAGTCTTGGTGGCGCAGCAGACTAAAGTGCTGTTAACTAGCACCAGCTGCCTGCAATTACTGCAAGTTCAAATCTCACCAGGCTCAAGGTTGACTCAGCCTTCCATCCTTTCGAGGTAGGTAAAATGAGGACCCGGATTGTGGGGGGCAATAAGCTGACTTTGTATAAAAAAGAACACTGCTTAGGGCCAAAAGCCCTACTAAGCAGGTATATAAAAAAGTATGAAGGCTATTGCTTAATGCATTGTAAACCGCCCTGAGTCTGAGTCCCTGAGAAGGCATATAAATGGAACCAATAAATAAATGAATAAATAAATAAATAAATAAATAAATAGGCTCACGTGGAATATATTTTGTAGAGATACTGGCTGATACATTTAGTGAATGTAAATGTTTATTTTTGATTAGAGTTTGCTTGGAGCATTTTAAGCTATATACTTCATTGCATTTTAATTTTAAAACAATTGATACAGCTTAGAAAACAATATTGGAAAAAACAATCAATCAATAAGGAAGGATTATAGGGCAGTTGTCTACAGGTTGCCTGAATCTGATGAAAATGAGGAAGATCATGGAAAAGTAAATGGAAGACAAAAGTTGCAGTTTTGCATAAGGTCAGGGTGCTATTCTGCATAACCTGTGAAACAACCACTCAGGTTTCATGGGATGAACATATCAGGTAATACGTTCCATTGGACATAAATATTTCTGAGCAAAAATATTGTATTTTGCAAGATTATTTTTCAAAGTCCAGGATATATATGCATTTTGTATGCTGCTTTGATGCCAGATTAGGTTTTGATTCCTGCTGTAAAATTATGAAATAAAGTTCTAAGATTAGATGTTTTCCTTAGCTGGTATAAAATGAGTACAGAAGTATGATGAATATAGTAGTTCCAAGGAATGCAGTGAAGTGGAATATTTTTTTCCAAAGGGGTGGCTTGATACGTTTTGAAGAATTGTCTATGACCCGAGTCTTCAGGGGCTTGAGAACACGATCCCACTGGGTCAGAATTGCATTTCTAGCTTTCTCCCACTTTCCAGGTCCACAAAGGCGATACTGGTAAGAGGTACAAGGACCAAATAAGATCTTCAAAGCTAGTTTGGGGTCCTGTAGTAAAAGTAATGGCACATTGGGCTTAACCCCTATGCAAACAGCAATTTCATCCATGTAGTGAACAAATGATTCCTTTTTTTTCTCTGTGTTGGAAATACCCCTGGAGCAGAAGACAAATGGAAATAATAATAAGTATTCTGTAGCTATAGATGGTGAGAAAGACATGGAACTTTGGGGCAATTGTCATGCCATTTGTTGGAGACAGCCTGGTCTGTAAAGTGGGGAATTAGTCTGGAATCTTTACATGGGCACAAGAAGGCAAAGTGAACCTCCCCCCCACCCCCCATTGAATGCCATTGAACATTATCTAGTCTGGCCCAAGTGCAAACCGTTAGTCTGGAAGATTGCTGTGAAATAGGCATGAGCAGTTAAGTAGCTAATTGAACTCTTCATGTGTGGATCTGTTGTTCATGCTTGTCACCATACTGACTTTGGCACTGGGAACTCTAGTTCAGCAACATTCAGAGGGACATTTATTGTGAACTTTGATGTGATAAATTTGACTGAAAGAAGTACATCCTAGATCCAAGCATTAGTGAAAGTGAAATTTGTTAAAATACAACAGCAGCAAATGGCAAAATACATAGTAGGATATAGTAGAGAACGAATTAAAGATGCTATATTGCAAATTTAATTTAGTTAAATGTACATGAAATTAAATAAAATATCCTTGATCAGATTTATATACTTTGGGAGTAGAATTTTGTGCATGCAATTTACAGCCCAATATCATAATGAATAAAAGCCTCTATTCCTGCATTAAACCATGGCATATTGAGTAATAGTTTGAGTTTTCTTTTTGAAACTAAAAAGAAACATGCAATATCTGAAACATCAGAAACAATAGAAATGTTTGAAATACAGAAAGGTTTCCTTCCTTTCTGAAGTTAAATGTGACCCATTCATTTGTAAATCAGTTGAATGTATGTCACAGCAAATTATCTTCCACCCAGAGCAGTAAATTGCTCAGATCTCCTACGTTTTGCCTTGTCCTGGGATCTGTTTACCTCTCTTCTCTAGCACAAGAAAAACTCAATAGCATATTATTTGCTTTTCTTAATGTTATATCTGATTAAAATAAAAACAACGAAAAACCCTGCTATTGTCATATATAGCCAAACCAAACATATAACAAGGGTTACCTGGAATCAAAAGTATCTACCGTAGTTAGAAGTGTCTAACCACACAGAAAAACCACAATTGAATAATTCAGATGCTTCTAGGTCAGATTTGTATGGTGTCTCATCCAAAGAATTTTACATAAAAAAGAATGACCTTCTCCCTCCTTATCCCACTCAAAACCCAAAGGAAAAGAGAGAATACTGTGGCTACACAATATCTTTTTTTTAATGGCATTAAGCCTGGAAATATTTCATGAGTCAAGGTGTAGTGCAAGTTATTTTCTATGGCCACATGATGGCACCATATGGACGGTTGACAACTACAAACTGCACAATATATATAATATTTTCTTCTTCTATGGTTTAAGGATTTTCAAACATGTTCTATGTTCTCTAATGCCATTAAAAGGACTGGGGCCAGTATTACAGGTCACCATACCTAGCCCTTCTGCCTCAAGGATCCTAAAATATTTCCTTTTATGTTTAGTATAGATCACCTTTCTATTCAGAGGGTACATTGGGTAACTCTGAAAATAGCATTCAGCATCTATTTAGATTAAAAAAAAACCTTGATAAAGAATATTAAAACAGCCAGGAAAAGTTACACACACTTCTGTACCAGTTAGCTTTTTTACCTATATACTTGAAGCAGCAACTCTTAGGCCACAGTTATATAGCAGTAATATCCACAAGCAGTATGCCAAGATAAAATGTTTTGTCCCAATTGTTGATCTTTTCAATGCTGCAGTAGCAAGAAAGTGGTATGTTCTAGCCTTATTGTTTCAATGCAGGACAAATTAAAAAAAAGTTCTTGGTAAATTCTCTCAGCTATGTACCCCTATAGGCAGGAAAAAGCAACCTTCAATTGTAGTCCCTAATGTAGGAATGGGTAGGAAGCAGAGGCAGCTGCTTAGAATGCCTGATTTAGCAATCTGTCAAGTTACCTAACATGACACAGAGAACTATATAGAAGAATAGGGTTGGACAGGATCTTGGAGGTCTTCTAGTGCAACCTCCTGCCTATAGCAGCAGATCCTAGATTATTCTGGATAGATGGTTATCCAGACGTTCGGAAAACTACAGTGATGGAGCAACCACAACTTCCAGAGGCAAACCATTCCAGTGATTAATTGGTCTCACTGTCAAGAAATTTCTCCCTAACTTCTAAGTTGGAGCTCTCTTTACTGTTCTTCCACCCATTAATTCTTGTCCTGCTCTGAGGTGGAGAGTAAGTTGATTCCCTCTTCTCTTTGACAGCTGTTCAAGTATTGGAAGACAGTTATCCTATCACTCCTAGTCTGTCTCTTCATTAGACTAGGCCAGTGATGACGAACCTTTTTGGCACCAAGTGCCCAAACCAGAATGCACGCCGGAGCGTTGGAAACCTGAAGACCAGGTGGCTGGCGTGTGCATGTGCACCGGCCACCTGGTCTTTGGGCTTCTGGTGCTCCGGCACGCGCAAAGACCAGCTGGCCAGCGCGCATGCACGCTGGAAACCAGAAGAGCAGCTGGAGACGGCGCGCGTGCCCATAGAGAGGGCTCACCGTATCACCTCTGCCATGCATGCCATAGGTTTGCCATCACAGGACTAGACATACCTAGCTTCCTCAATCATTCATCATATGGTTTAGCCTCCAGACCCCTTGTCATCTTTGTTGCTCTTCTCTGCACTCTTTTCTAGGATCTCAACATCTTTTCTGTATGGTGGTGACCAGAATTGGATCCAATATTCCCACTGTGGTCTCACAAGTGCTGTATAAAGCGGTACTACCTCTTGAAACTATTCTTCTGTTGATGCAATCCAGGACTTCATTAACTTTTTTGGCAGCTGTAGCACATTGCTGGCTCATACTTATGTGATGGTCTACTAGATATGCTGGTCTACTATAATAAAGATTTGAATTGATTTGACAAACAAGATTGAATAAGAAATTTGAAAACCATTTGTGAGGCATTATATGGGTAGATGTCCAATCTTTCCATGATCAAATGGCATATCCTAATTCTGAGTTACCATATCATTGATGTAATGAGCTATCAGGAGAAAAGAGAAAAATTACTTTAAAACTGGAACAGATAAAGATTAGTTAAACTGATTCAGCTAGGGTTTGGGGATGAGATGAAGGCAATGTCATCAGGACATGGTATTTAAAAACTGGAACATGTTTATCCTGTGGTTAGGGGGATATGAAGGTAAGACCTTAGGCTCAATTTTTCTTTCTAAACCAGTCAATGTCAATAGAGGACCAGTTGCTAAAATGCACATAAACATGCCCAAGAAATTACCAGGAGTTGATCTGAGTAGAATTAGAGATTATTTTTTTACATTTAAAAAAACAGTGTGGAACTTTGTTATGCCCTTTCCAATTTACTTCATTCTTTGTGATATGTTTTGCCTCATCTTATTTTAGGAGTATCATGTCTTCTCTTTAAAGAGTTCCTGTCTGTTAACTTCTTCCCAGGAACTTTGCATACACTTTTCAGGGAATTTTGCCAGAATGATACCTTGAATTAATATTTGTTTACTCCCTGGGTTAACATTTTCTTTTCTAATTCACTGAAGCTGAGAGGCAAAAAGTACTAACTACAGCTTTTAAAATAATATATAACATTTCATACTTTTTAAGGAGCCTTTTCTTCTGCTTAGCAATTTCATTCATCATTCTGTTCATTGGAGGCAGCTTATTAGATCCTGGTAAGGAAAAAAAAAGGAAACAACATGGATGAGTTTTGACCATGACAACCTCAGCTGTTGCTTTGAGTTTCTTTAGGCAAAATGGCCTGTTAGGCCACACTCTGTGGCTAGTCACAATGTTAACTATAAAATGGTCATTTTCCAGAGCGCTGTGTCTCCACTCCATAGATGGGATCAATCCTCCTTTCTGACAGCAACTGAGAGAACTTAAACAGAAATGGGGGAGGAGCTGGTTGGAGGTGAGCAACGGCTGTAAGGAGCTCTCCCAAATTAGGTTTTTCTTTTTTAACGTTTTTAAAGTATTTTTATATTTTTAATTCATTTTTAATCTATTTTTAATTTATACTGGACTTTTACAAAGCACATATAGTGTGGCTACTGTTTGTTTTAGACATATTTTAACAATACTACAACCTGCATTCCTGGCTTAGGCTACTCCTGTGACTTCTCCTTGCAAGGCCTGAAATTCAGATTATCGGACTTGTTGACAAACCTCAGTGGAGGCCCTTAACATCGGAGGGGATTTTGAGCTGTTTGTTTTTGGAACGAGTACAGTAAGGAACTGGCTGGCTGCAGACGCTCCCGGTAGGCCTGCTTTTAATGAAACTCTATCAGCTTTTTAGTCTCTTTCTCCCACATATTTCCCCTGTGAAATAATTTAAACAATTTAAACAATTCTGAAAATAGATGATAGCAAAGAAGTGGGAGTAAAAGACAAGCCGTTGTTTGGAAAGGAGATTGGTTTTTACCTCCGTGGTGCCTTGGCTGAGACCATCATTAAGGCCTACCTTAACTACGATTGCCGAGGGAGGATAAATTGTTGCGATATTTAATTTCGCTGGGAGATACTGGATCAACTATCTACCAGAATGGTGAAGAAGAGTAAGAGGCAGAGAGCTTACTCTCTTTCCCCAAAATCTATGACAGAACTTAATTACTCCAAGCCTCTTAAACAGCTTAAATTGGATGACTTTATGGAGAGGTGTAATCCAGAACCCCAATCTGAACTTCGAACTTTGTCTCTGTCGACTGTATCATTGGGAGAGGGAGATACAGAAAGGGAGCTTTCTTCCTGGATTTCAGATTTAAACTCGCCTGATAGAATGGGTGACTTTTCAAGCTTTATCCCCTCTCCTACTTCTAGCTGTTTAAAAGAAGTTCCGACATATTCAGACCTCAGAGAGATGGTCTGTACTCAGAGTATGTTAACTGCGCACATAGTAGATTCAATATATGACTTACTGACATCGATCAAAAGAGACGTCGAGAGGATCTTCCAATTCTTAAATGGCCCTCACCCTGCAGCTAAGGAGGGTGAGACTGCACACCGTCCTGACACGCGGAGAGAGTGGAAGGGTTTAAGACCTCAACCCAAACAACAAAGCATTGCAAGTACTGACGCTAACCCTCATCAAGGAAGAAGGTTGTTAAAGAAACAAATTGCTTTAAGGATAAGGAAAATCCCATGCAATAGAGGACGATGGACTTCAAAGGAAAGGATAATCCTCTCACTTGCACAGCTATTGAAATCTGATCCTTTATTAATAGATCTACTCAGATACCAAAAACTTCCCCAGCATAGCAATTGTGTTCGACTAATACTGCATTTTGACAGCAATACTATTCCGAATGCTGTAATGAAAAGAGAAGGATCCCTGCTCAGATTTGAAGTCATTCCTACAAGAGTGGGCCTATTAAACCGCTTTTACAAGGACTTAACCAAACATCAAAAATGCTACCTAGGAACCACTCTGCTACCTCCAGGGTCTTTCCTCTAGAATCCGGAGAACCTATGGAGGCAGGCCAGACCAGGGAGGTCCCACATATGAAGGCAAGCACCGACAAGCCAGAGGATGTTATAATCAGCTAATTTGTCTCCTTGTCTCCAAAGGAGCAAAGGTCGATGTTAATTGAATTTGACTTATTAAGATCTTCGCTAGCAGAAGCCTGCAGTTCAACGAGAAGGCTATCCAAGTTGGAAGAACAGGGAAAGCATGTTCAGACAAGGCCTAAAGTTGTTAAGTCCGTCCAGCGGGATAGAAGGGAAGGCAAAAGACTTTTCAAAGAAACAAAGACCATGAATGTAGTGGCAGAAGTTCACCCTCCCCCAACTGTGCAATTGCTCTCACCTGTCTCATCTTCCTTAAGAACGGGGGAGGCACTTCCGCAACAATCAGAGGCCACTTTTGACTCCTTTGGCACTCCAGAGAAGGCGGTGGTAGTAATTCCGGACCCCTCCACCAGAAGGGTGGAGGAAGAGACACAAGAAGTAGTGCCTCGGGGTGATTGACTAGACAACAAATGGCCAATAACTAGGGTATCTTATATCCCTAGCCTTTCCCTCCTGTCCTGGAATATAGCGGGCTGGAAAGGCATTGCAAACTGGATGGATTTTATAAAACTGATTTCAACACATCATCTCATCCTCCTTCAAGAAACCTGGCTGACTACTAATGATCCACAGATCAGCTTACCGGGCTTTGCCTCATGGCATAAACCGGCAGGCAAAGTCAATTTAAGAGGGAGGGCAATTGGGGGCTTAACCACGATGGTCAAAAGGGATAGAGGATGGAAGGGTGAAGAAATTTCTTTAGACCCTCAATTCCAATATATTCTGCCTATTAGATTTTCGTTCAGGGGGATGGACTTAATCTTAATTAATGTATATATCGCTCCTTTTTCATTCCACCTTCTAGGAAGGGATTTGTGGGATGAATTAGATTCAGTATTAGCTACCTTAAAGGGACGCTTTCCCCAAGCAAAAATTATATTAGCTGGAGATACTAATGCAAGACTAGGCCCCTCAATGAAGAGCTATGCTAACCGAGGCCTGGTACCAACTGGATACTTTTATAATGAGTTCACCTGGTCCTCAATGGACAAGAGGACCAATAAATATGCCCAGAGATTAATTTCCCTGCTGTTTATGAATGATATGCAAGTACTTAGTGGCTTGAGTGATGGGTATATATATCCCTATACTTTCTTGTCCAACAAAACATCAACCTCTATCGATTATATCTGCACTTCCTCTAGTGTAGTACACCATTTTTCAGATGTAAGAGCTATATTTAGAGAGGAAAGTGACCACTTTCCCATCACGGCTCTGGTTTCACTCTCTTCAGAAGTTAGGCCTCATTCAAGAGAGGAAATTGACACCTTAGTAAACGCCCGGGTTTATAACTACAAAAGGTTAAATTGGCACAGACTTGATGTCAAATCTGTGACCACTTATTTGGGCTCAGACGAAGCCAGGCAGCTAGCAAGGGAAATCTCCCAATCTAAGCCCGGAGACAACACCCCAATGCCAGCTTATATAGAGCTAACTTCTACTCTTAAGAACTTAATGATCCAGAATGATAGAAAAGTAGATGGGATCTCTAGAAAGTGGTTTGATGATGATTGTCATAGCTTGAGGTCAAATCTAAGAGCCGCAGTTAGGAAAGTTAACCGGTCCAGGCAGGATGGGGATTATTCAAATATGGTTCAACTCAGGAGAGCATACAAATCCCTCCTGAAAAACAAGAAAAGTAGCTATAATACCAGGATGTGGAAAGAGGTAGAAATGGCAGCGAAATCCCAATTCCCTATGATCTTTTGGCATAAGATAGCCGGCATATTAAAACAACGTTCCCCATTTATGGACACTGATATATCAGCAGCAAAATGGGAGAAGCACTATCTTGCTTTATTTGATGGTAATAATACAACAAATGTCTTGCAACTGGATATTCTCCAGCAGGAATTAAGGAAATGTCTGGAATGGACACCAGTTACCTCTACCGAAGTTAAACATATAATTCAATCCTTAAAAGCCGGGAAGGCCCCTGGAGAGGACTTGCTGCCTCCTGAACTCTTTAGGTCCAACATTGACTTTTGGGTACCGGTGCTGGTAGCACTGTTTACTTATATCGATAAAGTAGGGATAATCCCTGAAGGATGGAGGTTAGCTATAGTTTTTCCAATTTTCAAGAAAGGTGACAGAGCCGCCCCATCCAACTACCGCCCCATCAGTCTTCTTAATATAATTTCAAAAATGTATACGAAACATCTGCTAAATAAAATAGAGGACTGGTGCTTGGATAAGGAAATTCTGGCAAATGAGCAGGCAGGTTTTAGATCAGGTAGGTCTACCATTGACAATTGTTTTGTCCTTTCCCACTTAATTAATAAATACAAGACCCAGGGGAAAAAGCTGTATACCGCCTTTATTGACCTTACCGCTGCTTTTGATTCTATAGATAGGAACCATTTGTGGAGGAAACTACAAGTCATGGGGATGGACCCCAGACTTATTTTGTTGATCAGGACTCTCTATACTAATATGGCAATTAGAGTCAGATATGCAGCAAATGGGGCCTCAACAAACAGCATACAAACAACTAGAGGAGTGAGGCAGGGCTGCCTGCTGGGCCCTACTCTTTTTAACCTTTATATAAATGATATCCCAGCGCAGCTGGAAGATCTTCTGACGCATAGCCCCCAAATAGGCTCTAGATTTATTAACGTATTAATGTACGCCGATGACTTAGTGCTGTTTTCTAGAACCCAAATAGGAATGAGGAGACTTCTTGCCAAGCTCACACGTTATTGTACTACAAACCACTTGACTATAAATGTAGCTAAATCAAAAGTTTTAGTCTTTGGCAATAAGAATGAAAAGCACAATTGGCAGATTAATGACACAAAGATTGAGCAAGTTACCCAATATACTTATCTTGGAATTGTTTTTTCCAGGGCAGGAGGTTGGACTCCGCACCATCAATACCTTTCTCAAAAGGTCAGAGCAGGAGCAAGCCTTGTATCCAAATTAAGTAAACGTATCCAACCAACCTCCATTTTACCTCTTCGTAAAGTCTTTCAGGCTAAACTTGTTCCGATCATGCTCTATGGTGCCGAAACTTGGGGTCTTACAGAGGCCCCCATATTGGAGAGAACTCAAAATAATTTGTTAAGGAGGATGCTCAGGGTAAACAATTCCACTTCAGCTGCAGCCG